GCCGCTCCGTGCTCGGTGTAAGCTCCTATAAGTGTAGGCTCCAAGAAGCAGTCCCCGCGGGCTCAGTTCCGGGAGCCGGAATTCGGCTGCTTAGTGCTTGGTGTATGCTCTGATAGGAGCAGGGACCAAGAAGCAGCCTCCGCAGGCTCCGCAGCCCTGGGCCAGGGCGGTTCCGGGACGGTTCCAGGAGCCGGAACTCGGCCGCCCCGTGCTCGGTGTTCGCTCCGATAAGATCAGGTTCTAAGAAGCACCCAGGCGCTGAACCCTAGCAATCTGTCTGCAAGCCGCAGGCAAATTGCAGCCTGAAATTACCTGTTCTATGGCTGAATGAGCTGCGGTCAGTCGAAAACAGGGGTGGTGATGTCAGTTTACCAACATGGTGGCTGCTGGCCTCCTCTGTGGTCTGACCGGTGTGGAGAACCGAGATGGACCGCTTCCTTCCCCCGTCTCGAACCCAGAATTCAGCCCTGAGTACGGTGCTTGCGCGGCTGGCAGAAACTGCAGCGCTGTAACCCTGCGTCTCTATCCCAGCGTGCGCTGCAGACTCTAGCCGCGGGGCGATTTGCTGAATAAGCAGTGTTACCCTCCGTGCGACAAACCTCTCGCGTTTGAGTCCCCGTAGCCGATCCTCGTGCGATGGAAATCCTTCCTCCAGGTTCCGGAGCACCCCACTATTGCTGGAAATTCCTAACAAGATATCCTTTAGCCGTCCTGACTTGTCATACTCCCACACAGTGAAGCAGCACACGGGGGCAATGCACTCCCCTCGCCGCCATCTTCCTTCCCTCCTTGGCTTCTTAAACGTGGATGGGGACAACTGCGCTCCTATTTACTAAGACATCCTGTGCACCTGGCACCACCGAGAGCGGGCAGTAGATACCACGCAGGGCACATTGGGTGGATTACACAGTCTGCTAAGTGATGAGCCCCACGGAAAGAAGTGAGGCACGGTGGGGGGTGTGGGAGCAGGGGAGGGACGCACAAAGGGGAGAACATGGCCTCGCTGAGAGGGGTGTTGCAGCAAAGGCCTCAGGAGGTGGGGACAACGCCAGCTTCCGGGTGGGGAGCGGAGCCAGTGGGAAGGTCCCTGAGAAGGGCCATGCTGGCTTGTAGAGGAAGAGCGAGGGGCCCCAGTAGGACCATGTCATCTTGTTCAAGAAGAGCAAGAGGTCTACCTGGCTCCTGGTCCCCTTAGTGGGGAAGGAGGAGGCTGAGAGTCCATGGGAGTCCAGTGGCATGGGCCTTTGGAGACTTGCCTTTTACTCACAGAGGTGTGGGGACAGAGGAGTGACAGGACTGACTCAGGTAGCAAAAGGGTCACCCTGAGTGCCGTGGGGCCAATAGTTCTGAACTAGGTTTCCTGGACTTGGGTCTGACTCTAATCCTAATTAGTGGTCAACCATCAGGCGATGTAGTTAGTCTTTCTGTGCCTGATTCCCCTTCCGAATAACAGAAATGATAGTGGTTAGCAGATCAGTAGTTAGATAAGTGTATAATGAAAAAATTCAGGAGGCCCCTAAATGTGATTCCAGGGACAAGGTGAGCACTGAAGGATATGGTCATTTTAATCATTATTAAATCGGGCTCCCTAACGAGAGCTTCCCGCCTGGGATGGTGAGCCGTGTGAGCCTACAAACTCCCAGGGAGAATACACTGACTGACTGTCCTCCCCTCCACCTCCGCCAGGGGCACTGACATCTCACACATGTGGTAATGAGTTGCCCCGGGACACGGTCCCCATGAGGAAGCGAGGAGTTTGCTGGGAAGGGAGGGTCCCCACTGACCATGAAGCTCGGGGGCAGGTGCTGCAGGAAGCTGTCAGTGCTTAACATGACTCCAACCCCAGCAGCTGAAAATGAGAAATGCCTATGGTTTCCCATGGCCTGGGAGTGGGAGGACCAGCCTGGCGGGGTCCTCCCATGTGTAGGTGGGGGGTCAGCAGGGGCTGCAGCATGCTAGGCCTGTGTGGGTGGAGGATTTGCACCTCAGAAGGCTCACTCCCAGGGTGCTGTCACAAGGCCTTGTTCCTCCCCACATAGGTCCCTCAGGGCTGCTTGAGGTCCATCCCATGGCCACTGGCTTCCATTGGGTGAGCCATGAGCAAGGTGACCTAGCTCAAATGCGATACACTGTCCCTTCCCACCAGGTAACACATTCATCAGGAGCAAGTGACCAAGGGCAGGCCACACTGAAGGGAAGGCGTGAAGTGCTGCTGCCTGTTACAGGATTAGTACCCTATAACACACTTCAAAAATCCCGCACGGAAGCTGTGAGGTCAGGGCAAAGTAGCACCACCCTTGAAAATAAGACAAAATGACCACAGTGTGGGCTTTCACGTTGTCAAAAGAGACAAAGTTTATATTCTCTTAATTCAAAAATTGACTCTCATACACATATGCAGTGAGTAGGAGTCAATGGTTTACTATTAATATGTGAGGGAATCACAATGATAAAACTGATTATCTAAGGATGGCTCAAGGAACAAAGGTCTTTAGTATTCATTGGGAAAGAAATGCTGGAATAGGCTGGCTAAGTTACAATTTTTAAAAATTACTGCCTTTGAATTTCTTTTTTTTAACCAGACAAAAATAAGTTGGAATTTATCAATCTTCTCCTAGTTCATATCTAACTTTAGAGAATCTGTGTCTCAGTTTGATTTCTGTTGCTGAAACAAAATACCTGAGACTGGGTAATTTGTGAGAGAAAGAGGTTTTGTTTATTTGTTTGTTTTTGTTTTGTTTTGTTTTTGGCTCACAGTTCTGAAGACTGGGAGGTTCAAGATTGGCAGCTGCATCTGGTGAGATCTTTGTTCCTGGTGAGAACTCTGTAGAGTCCCAAGGCAGCATAGGACATTTTATAGTAAAAAATAGCACTATTATGGTTTGGATGTGACCCCCAAAATGCAAGAAGGCTTAGAGGTGAAATCACTGGGTTATGAGAGCCTTAATCCAATCAGTGGTGGGGCGTTCAGACCCTAGGGATGCACTGGGAGCCAACCAATACCAATTTGTGAGACAACCAAGGACACATTTCTGAGGGAACTAACTGTTTGGGGGGTCTGTTTGACAATGTGAAAGCCCACACTGTGGTCGTTTTGTCTTATTTTCAAGCTTAGGGATATAGATAGATAGATAGATATAGATATAGATAAATCTCCAAGTGCCACATCCCCAGCCCTTTTTATTTTTTTTTTTATTTTGAGATATGGTCTCATGAAGTTGCTGAGGCTGGCCTTGAACTTGAAATCCTCCTGCTGCCTCAGCCTCCGAGCTACTGGGCTCACAAGCGTGCACCACACGTGAGCTCATTGGTGCACTGTCCATTCATTCCTCCTATCTGGATTCTCATTTCAGCACGTTTTGTAATAGAGCTGGTAGAGGCACCCCCGGTGACCCAGCCAGCTTGCTGCGTCTCTGCAGGGCCAGCCACATGCATGCTCCCTTCTGAATGGGCAGAACTTGAAGGAGCTCTATTAGCCAGCCAGGTGTCCGCTGATTCACTGTTGAGAGTGGCACCCTGGCGTTTAGGGGAAACATTGTCCACCTCTACAATCACTTTACAGACAAGAGCCTATTTTTTGAAAACCACTTTGTCAATAGCTTAACTCTGGAATTTGTTCTTGTAATTGGCAATAATTTCTGAGTCGTTTCTATCTGGCCAATTTATAGTGCATTTAATGATTTTGCATAAGCAGCATCTACATTAAATTTATTTTTCTGAATGCTATTTATCACATTGGTAGTCTTATGTGAATAAGGGGTTATTTTCTGTCTTTCAATCAACCCGATATTTATTTTTAAACCCTTTAAGGATTTTTTTTTTGTCCCACATGTTTGAATACGGTTTCTTTAAAATTCATGCTTTTACAATCAATAGTTACCGATGGTGGTCAAGATGTTGTTAAATTGTTCTGCACTGACGGGTGTTAATTCAGAGCCATCACAGAGAGTCTTAAAAGCATATTAATGGATTCACAATCATGATTTTTTTTTTTTTTGTCAATGAGATATTTAAGAAAGATCAACTGTGGAATCATAGATGTTTGTCACAACGTAGCGCTCAATAGCAAAAATGAACCAATACAACCCAACAAAATAAGGACCAATAATAATGGGCTGGAATAAATGAATGATAAAAGACCCTTAGGAATTTTTGCACAGCTGTTCAAACCTAGGAAGTCATTATTCATGTTAGTGTGGGAAACGAGTCTGCTGTGGTGCCCCAGAGAGCAGCAGGTTGAGAGTGGCCTCTGTGACGCTGCAGCGGGACAGCTGTCTGCAGTGACAGCTGTCTGCAGTGACGTGGGGGAGGAAGAGTGTCCTCACGGGATTTTTGATGGTGCATTCATGGAAGCATTCACTTCTCCTGGTTTGCTCTTCTGGATTTTCAGGTTTTTCTGCAGTGAACCTGTAGCCTACTACATGCTCCCCCAGTAGGAATTCCCCATGGCCGGCATCTCCATGGGCCTGGCAAAGGAAGGCGGGGAGGGGAGGGAGGGACGAGCAAGGCAGAAGCTGCTTTTCTGTGTGCTCCTCAGAGCCCCAAGGGCCCGGCTCAGAGCTGCGGGGAGGTTGTCTCCAGAAACTCCCTTTCCCAGGCTGGGCGAGCAGCAGGTGCTTCAGGAGGCTCCAGGGTGTCACATCGCCCTGCTCCTCCCTGGCTTGCAGTTTCAGTCTCCTCCCAGCGACCCGGGAGGAGTGCATAAATAATCAAGTATGCACTTAAAAAGCCGGAGCATCCTCGAGGAGCCGAAGACTCCGCAGGCTCCCGCCAAGGGAAAGGAGCCACCGAGGTGTCCTCTGGGTGCTGGCAGGACAGGCTCTCCTGACCCCAGCTCCAGAAGCCCTGGCCCAGCGGATGTGGTTACCCGCTGGGAGGCTCAAGAGCTTGCTTGCTCCCCGGGCCCCTGACAGCCCTCAGCCTTTGTCTGCACCTAATTTTTTTTTTTTTTTTTGCTGTTTGTTTCAAAATAGGGGAATCTGCACATCGAGGAATTCAAGATGGTCCTGAGTGGGGCGCTGTGCTTCCGGTGAGTGTGTGGGCCTCCGAGAGGAGTGCGATCTGGGTGGACCTGTCCAGCCTTGTGAGGACAGGAAGGGCCTGCTGCCCCAGCCGGGGCTCCCAGCGGAGGACAGGCGGCTGAGAGTCAGGGCCAACAGTCGCTGCCCCTGCCATTCTTCCAGCCTTTCAGACTGGGACAGGACCTGGCAGCCCACCTCAGGGGGACAAGTAACCACGGGGCCAGGGCTGCAGCCTAGCCTGGTCCATGTATGGGGAAGATGGGAGCCAGGAGCCCCCCTCTGAGCTCTGCTCTGCTCCCCACGCCATGAGTTAATGTCACTCCAGCCACCACCTCCCTGCAGCCCTGGGGGTGGGGGGAATAGAACCAAAACAATCTCCAGAGGTCTGCCCACCCACAAGTGTGTACTGACCCAGAAACTCAGCTGTGTGTGAACTTCACAGTGAAGGGGGAGAGCAGCCCTCTCTGACGTGAGTCTCGTCTGACTGGCCCTCCATATCCTTGGTTTCCACATCCACAGAATCAATCAACTGTGGATTTAAAAATATATATATATATATGTATGTATAAATCGCATCTGCGGTGAACATGTGCAGATGATCTTCTTGTCATTATTCTCTAAACAATGCAGTATGACAGTGTTTGCATACATTTGCATGATGGTAGGTATTGTAAGTCATCTAGAGATGATTCATGGTATGGCAGAAGATGTGTGATGCTTCTATGCAAACACTACGCCAGTCTGTGTTGGGGCCTTGAGCCTTGTGGATTTCGGCGTCTGTGGGACCAGCAGCCTGGGCACTTGGGGGACGACTGGCTAGCGCGTTTCAAGGTGTGTTCTATGGGCCTCAGTCCCATGGGGTTCTTTGTACATTCGAGCTCTCTGATCAAGTACATGCGGCAAGTGGTGCCTTCCCTGTCCTGGTAAGAGCTCTCGGTGCCACTCAGCATGCCAGTGACTTTGGATCTTACTAAGTAATGGAGCTTGTTTAATCATGTTAGGTCAAACATGCAGCCAATGTTTACACTGCAGACTTTTCCCCAGTTAATATCTGCAGAAACCTGCTTCAGAGTACATCTTTCACCTCACAGTATATCAGAAAACCAATCAACTCATATACAAGCAATAACTAAGAAAAGTAAAATAAATCAATTTTAAATTTAGAGAAAATCCTCACTCAGGAATACATGGCCAAGTGGAAGTAAATGTCCACTGAAGTCTTCAATAATGCTTGAAGATACAGATTTTAATCAGGAAGAGACCTGGGTGCTACCTAACCCATCTTTAGCAATGAGGAGACTCAGGCCCAGAGAGAGTAGGTGATGTGTCCCTGTGGCTCAGCAGCATGGACGGCAGCCGCAGTCACTTCTCTCTGAGAGACCATGTGGGGACTGGATAGGAAAGATTGGGTAGGGTGAGACTCAGGTGGGGGCCTGGGCTCATCCCCTGGTAAGGTAGGAGCCCAGCAGGCCTGGGGGAAGGCTGGGCTGTGGTACCCAGCATTGTTGGAAGACAGGGCGGCAAGACGCTCAGACTGGGGGACTCTGGGCCAGGGCAAGCTGCAGGAGCCCCGCTCCTCACGGCCTCCTCCTTCCCCATGTTTCAGAATGAAGGACTCGGCCCTGAAGGTGCTCTATCTGCACAACAACCAGCTTCTGGCCGGAGGGCTGCACGAGGGGAAGGTCATTAAAGGTTGGTGTAGAGCAGGACCTGAGTGGTCCCCGTCCGTGTCCCTCTGCGTGAGGCACCCGAGGAGGCTTCCCAGCAGGCCTGCAGACCTCAGCAGCAGGGGACACTGTGTGGCCTCGTGCTTACCCACATGCTGTGGCGGATCTTCTCTGACAGTGCACACCTGTCCACCTGGGCACTCGTAAGGGTCACTGGAGCTAGTTGGCCCCTCTGCTGTAGTGTGCACATGTGTGCTGCTGCGTGTGTGAGCATTGTGTGCGTGTGCATGGGGTGGGGGGTGCAGGGGGAGCTAGTCCTCTTCCAGGAGGCTCATAAAGACAGGGCTCAGAACGGAGGCCTGGGCATCAAAGGAGGTACTGGGGAGGGTCTCTTGGGGTTGGAGACAGCTCTAAATGTGGGGGCTGCAGTGTCAGGTGGCACCAGGTGCTTCTGTGCCTTAATGTCCACTCTGGGACAGTGGCAGGAGGGTGGCCTTCTCCCTGTGACAACTGCTGAAAGATTCCCCTTCTGCCCAGCGTGAGGACAGGAGGCCTCATGCTGGCCCTGCTCCCAGAGTCCAAGATCGGGGAGAGGGAAACAAAGGCCCCCAAAGGCCCGTACCTTGACTCTTGCCCACAGGTGAGGAGATCAGTGTTGTCCCCAATCGGTCACTGGATGCCAGTCTGTCTCCAGTCATCCTGGGTGTCCAGGGAGGGAGTCAGTGCCTGTCGTGTGGGACAGAGAAGGAACCAACTCTGAAACTGGAGGTGAGCCCTGTCCCGCGTCCTCACCATCTGGAGACTAAGCTGGCCAGTTCTGAGGCTGGGCACTGCCTCTGGGCACCTTAGGGACCCTGAAAGTTGCTGCTGGTCGTGGCTCTGCTTGCTCCCCAAGGGCTCTGCCTAGCCTGGGCCTCCCACTGTCCGCCCCTGCCCCTCACTGCTGCTCCTTGCCCCTGCCCCTGGCCCCCGCCCCTCACCACTGCTCCTCGCCCCTGCCCCTCACTGCTGCCCCCACCCCTGCCCCTTACCGCTACCTCTCACCCCTGCCCCTCTGTTGGCAGCCCGTGAACATCATGGAGCTCTACCGCAGCGCCAAGGAGTCCAAGAGCTTCACCTTCTACCGGAGGGACATGGGACTCACCTCCAGCTTTGAGTCAGCCGCCTACCCAGGCTGGTTCCTCTGCACAGCGCCCGAGGCTGACCAGCCTGTGAGGCTCACCCAGATCCCCAAGGACGCTGCTTGGGACACCCCCTGGGACGCCCCCATTACGGACTTCTACTTCCAGCCCTGTGATTAGGGCCACGCACCCCCACAACTCCCAGGGCAGTGCCAGCTCCAGCGGGGGCAGGGGTGAGGGGGACCATCCCTGCTCTCAGAACTCAGGACACCCAGCCGAGCTCCCTTCTTCTGGTCCCAGTTTGTGTAAAGTCTTCTCAGTCTGGGGATCAGTACCCACATTCATTGCCCACAGGGTGGTCCTACTGTGGAACCTTAAAACACCTCGTGGGATAAACCGGGAGCAGCATAAAATTACTGAGTGGGATTCCTTCATGCTTAAAGGTGCCTGACTCAGCGCCCAGGTGCCCACTGAGGTCCTGTCACCCCCCGGGGTGCAGGAGAGGGAGGTGGCCACAGGTAGATGGACCACGATCCCCTGCCGGTCCAGCCCCTCCCCATTCCTGACATGGTCTGCCTCTTCCGTCTCTGCCCTCTTCCTCTGGCCCTGGGCATGGGAGGGCCTGGGAGGGTGTCACTGGGGAAGCAGCTTCACCTCAGAAGACAGGAGATGGGCATGCCATCTCTTTTAGAAACCCAAGATACAAAGAAAACCTCCAGTGCTGGTCTCTCCTCCCATGGAAAGATGTTTACAGCATGTTGTGAAGAGCATATTACAAAGTCAGAGCTCTTGCAATTTCTTTTGAGTTTAAAAGAAATACCTAAGTATATATTTCTGAATCAAACCTCCCTGGAAGGTACGTCAGTAGCAGCAGGTTCTGGGTGGTGGCGCTATAGGTGACTTTTCTGTCTATTTTTATTTTTAATCTGTTTCCTAATTTTTCTATCATGAGGATGGGTTCCAATTGTCATTATAAAAAAGAAGTTAAGAGGGAGATTGAGGAACTGGAAAAGACACCATTTCTGACTGTCCTCAGCCTCAAGCTGAGTTGAGCCCGCTGCTCTGGGGGGCAGACGCAGGGGCAGAAACCTCCCCAGCAAAGCACCAAGAAGAGGATGCGATGGGCTTGTGTGGCTGGAGTCTCCAGAGTAAGGGAGTCGCAGGAAAAACCCCAGACAAAAGACAAACAGAACAAATGAAAAAACAACAACAATAACAAAAACCCTATATAATAAAAACTTTTTAAAAAAATCAAAGTCAGCCTCAGCAACTTAGTGAGGCCCTCTGCAAACCAGTGAAACCCTGTCTCTAAAGAACATAGTAAAAAAGGGCTGGAGATGTGGCTCAGTAGTTAAGTGCCCCTGAGTTCAATCCCTGGTACCATCATCATCATCGTCATCGTCATCATATCATCATCACAACAACAGCAACAATAATGACAATAATAATTTTAAAAATCCTGTGCTTTGAGCTGGAACGGCCCACAGTCCCTGGAAGCCCAAGACCTGGGATCAGCTCCCAAGAGGGCTGCTGTACCAAATGAATAGTGTCCTTCCTGAGTTCATGTCCTTCCTGGACCTCAGCCTGTGGCCTTCCTTGAGGATGGGGTCTTTACGGATGGTTGCCACAGGGTCAGGCTGCATTAGGGTGGGCTAAATTCTCCTGTGACTAGTGTCCTTGTAAGAAGAGGACCCAGAGACTCAGAGGAAGCACCGGGAGGTTGGACTGAGGCTGCCACTCGCCAAGGCAGGACATCAGGACAGTGGCAACCTCCTGGATTGTGAGAGAATAAATCTTTGTTGTTTGACGCGTGAAGTGTGTGGTGACTGGCTGCATAGCCGCCGTGACCCCAACTCCTGGAATTCACACCCTGTATGCACGCCTCCCACACTGCGCCAGAGGTGTCCTGGGCCAGTGGGATGTGGCTAAAGTGACTGACGGCTTGCCCCCTGTGAGAGTATGTTATAGGAGACACTGGACCTTCTATCTTGAGATGCCTTTTCTCTCTCTCTCTCTCTCTCGCTATCCATCTCTTCTTCGCTGGCTCTGTAGCTTCCTAGGTACACCCATGTGAAAAACCAGAGTCTCCAAACCACAGCCACAGGCATGGAACCAGTCCTGCAGCCTGTCTGGCCTTCAGTGATGAGAGCCGCCCAGCTGACAGCTGGCTTGCAGCCTCCTGACACAGAGCAGAGCCGTCCAGAGTCCTGCCCCAGAAACTGTGTGAGCTCATTGCTCGGTTCCGGAGTGACTTGTTCTGAAGCGTAGATGATGAAGACCCAAGGAAGGGAGACTCACTGCATTCATTTGATTATGATTGCAATTTTTCCAATTTATTTCCTTCTCAAAATGAACTCCGACCCTTTATTGATCCAAATAGTCTATTTAAATGCCTATCATGCAAAATTTGTTAAATGTTCTCTGCTTCAGGAAGGATTAGATCATTCTTGACTGCTGCACACATCTAGTTCTACAAGCCAGAGTCTGTTCTAGTGTCCCTACCAGCATCCTGAGGACTGAACCCAAAAGCCACAGCAGGGTCCCATATCTGAGCCTCAGCTATTCCACATGCAGCTCACCTGTTGGACCAGACTGGCAGGTTCAAAGCCTTCAGAGGGAGGGACAAGAACAGGGTCAGGACAGGAGGGATGACCTCCATGGGCCTCAGCAACTCCAGCTCAGGCACTGCTGAGGTCCCCATGGGCTCCAGGTACCAGGCTGTGTTTCTGTACACCGGTTCCTGTTCCCGCTCTCTGTGGGTCCAGACACAGTCTTAGGTTGCCCTTCTGCTCTGGGGCTCTTCACCCCACTCCCTGTCTAGAAAAACTGCCCATCTTTCATACCCTGCTAAGATGTCACGTCCTCCAGGAAGCCTTTGATGAGCTGAGAGTCCTGGTCATTTGTTCTGGCAATGCTTCATGTTCACCTCCTTGCAGTGAGTTGGCTTGGAGTCTGTGGCCCCAGGATGACCTCGAGGTTAGGGCTGCGTCAGTTTGCTTCCGGACATAAGCACGGTGCTTGGCAAACACTGGAATCTAGTGAGCATGGAATGTGGCCACTCTCTCTCCACCCTGGAACATTCTCTCCCTCTCTTCCACCCAACTAAGCCTCTAAGGGTGGAGCTTAAATTCCACTTCATTCTTGAAGGTTTCTCCAGCCTGAAGTGATTTGCTTCACCATTTATGGGATGACAGGATTCACAAGGGCTTCTGCCTGGATGTGCAGGCATTTATAAGTCAGTAGGAAAAGGAGGACATTAAACACTACCTTGGGGTATGTGCTGGCACCATGGTGGTTCAAGTGAAAAAGACCTGGTGGTTTCAGATTTCTGCAATTGTTGATTAAACTGTAGGCCTGGACCCATGTCACAGAGACACAATCTCCACACCATGTGGGGGGTCATGCCAGCTCCAGAAATGGAAGAGCAGAGGAGGTCCCAAGGGCAGGTCACAAGGGAAGAGGTGAAGCTGCTGAGGGTCTTCACGCTGAAGAAGCAGCACACAGAGAGCCCCGCAGACACTCAAAGTTCTGCCGAGTAGAAGAGTATCCTTGTTTGTGTCATTCCAGAAAGCACAAATTGGATAGACGGGTGGAAATGATGTGGAGACGGTTTTTCCTGAATGATCCCAGATTTTTAACCACTAACTCCACAAACATTGTTAGTGCTTCTTCCAGAGGTTGTGCAGTCCCTGGCCTTAGAGATGCGGAGGAAAAGTCTCATCAACCTATATCTCCAGAGCTCCATAATACTGACCTCTCCATCTGGAGGGACACCAGGACATCATGTCCAAGGTCATTTTAATTTCCCAAGATTTTTTTTTTTAAACAAGGAGTTTCTCTGCAACTGTGGCTTCCAACATGCCCTTGGTCCACAGCTTAGAGATTCTGGTCATTTAAATTATCTTTCAAGTATTTGTGACTTTGCTCCCAGCTGAACTGTGAAGCTACTTAACAGCAGGAACTGAGCACTGTTCATGTCTTTGTCATAGAGCAGATAAAAGCTTAGTAAACATGCACTTACTGCCTGATGTGACACCCACGCTTTACTCCTTCCCACAGAGAGGAGGGAGAGTGGGAGGAGTGGAGAGTGAGCGCTGGCTATAGAAGCAATGTTCTGGCCTCCCTCCTGCCCATCTTCTCTCCCTTCTCGTCCTGCAACCATCTGGGTCTTGGATGGACCCCTCCCTTCTCCCCATCAAGCCCTCTATGGAAATTTACAAATGATATGAGAACGAGAGAGAGAGAGAGAGAGAGAGAGAGAGAGAGAGAGAGAGAGAGAG